AGCATGCCTCGTGAATCTTATGAGGGCTCGTTGATGACAACGACGACAGCAGCTGTTGGAGAGTACTCACGGCTGGTCTATAGGGTTGTTATCATTGACGCCCTCAGCATGATGGTCACCAGGGACCTCGGATTCTCGCCAGTCCTCAGGGTATGATTGCACCTTTATATATCATATCCACTATCTCTAGAGTCTCCTACATGGACTTTCCCCCAGTATTCATGGCACTTGGTTCGGATGACCCCGAATGCTATCAGGAGTGCTCTCGACAACAATGGCATCCACCTTACTAAATGCGGAGTGGAATTAACAACACAACCTTTATTCGACTCTGACAATTTCAACTGATCAGTGGCTGATGACGACGATGTTACAGAGAACAACAGTAGGGCAGTCTTCAGTCAAGCAGAATTCTTCGGCAAGGGGCTGCAGAACCAGAGAGTAGTGACCGGCCAGCCTACTAGGCAAGTAGCCACCGACACTACGGCATCGTTATTATGACACTTAAGGTGAAGACTACTATTCTAAACAGATAACAATGAGGACGTGGGTAGACGGCAGAGATGTGGACTACTGCGCCGTTTTAATAAGGGGAATCGTCGTATACTAGAAGGACATTCGGCTGAGCAGAATTCCCAGGGAAAGGAAACCGACGACTCCTCTAAGAGGTAGTAGTAGGATGACGACTATTGATACAGAGATGATCTCCTCAATGATTATGGAGGAGAAAGGGAGCGGCGGCAGTGACTACGACCAGTGGGAAGGACACACATCCACTGCTCATGGTAATACGACCGCAGTATAACACAAATATAGATCTATAACTACTATTATTACAGCACTTTCCACAGCACTCCTCTTACCGTAGTACTACAACCGTTAAAGCCACTAAATACAAACACTGTCAGTAGTTGCTCTGACGTGCAGTAGGGCAGCACGGGTAGCAACGACGATGATAAGTTGCGAAAAATTTGGTATAGAACAGGAGAAAGCCAGGCGGCCAAAAACCAATGGCTTTACACGGCTAAACAAGGATAACTAAACAACACTATGGTGAAATCATTTATGAGTGAATCGCACAAGACACGTGGCGGCGTCGCCAGTACGTCGGTCGGTTCTCCTCCATAGCAGCCATCAGGAAAGGATTCCTCTTCCCCCCCTCCTCAATAGACCTCCGAATGACCTCCCCAACGGAATGACGTCTACCTGGTAGCACGTGTCTGTCGATACCACAAGTGATGGTCCGACACGGTGATGAAGGATCACATGGAGTAGAGCGCCGTATTGGGGACAATAGGGCTGCAACAACGACATCTGAATGTATGAGGACATTTGCAGGCGCCGATTGGGCGCGACGGAAGACCCTTGGGGGCGTAGGAGTCTCCTCTTCCTCTTCTGCTCCATCTGAAGACTCCTCCTCCTCCTCATCAAGGAACATGCTCTCGTTGAAGCCCTCCCCCTCCTCCTCCTCAGCAGCAGCAGGGTCATAAACAGCAACATCATCATATACGTGCACCACCGTAATGACCGAGGATGACCGATACCGCCGCAGCACGTTGGTAGTTCTCCTCGACAACTCCCCAGAAGAGTCGTTCTTTACCATAACCGTACGTGGCGACCGGCAACCGAATCTCACCCTCTTGGGGGCTGCTGCGACCCGCCCCGAAGAGGAGTCCTCTGTGTCAGTCGAGATGCACCCGAATTCCTGGGGTAAGCCCGTCAGGAGGAAGGTCGATGATGCCCGTCGGGCCGTCTTGTCACCCGATGCTGCTGGGTCGGAATATAGGGATGCTATCATAGCCTCTTCCTCCTCGTCTGCATCACCAACCGAATCAGCGATTGTCGAGCCACTGGAACCCTCGTGAGATTCAACTGAAAACACCAACCATAACTCTTCATATTAAATTTTTTGTATTTTACATATCAGCTATCCACATTTACGAGAAAAAATACTAGAAAAAATGAAAAAAGTTTCGTTTTCCCGTTTTTTTCTATTGGAATTTCACCCTAGTGATATGAAAAACACTAGTGAATAACATATTTCACGACTACTGCATATCACCGCGAATATCGCGTTTTACACCGAGTTTTACACCACCTCACGTAAAACGGGTAAAACTCCATTCTATTTCCATTCTGGAGAAATATTATTCCCAATACTTTGCCGAATTCACACAATATTTTCATATTTCACTGGATGAACCTTCCCCTCGTGACTCGTATAATCTACCACGACATACGTGTATAATTCTGTTTTCACGAAAAACATTTCGGTGCCTCAGAAGAAGACTACCACCGTAACGACTTCAGTTTATGAGATCACCAAAACGCCTATGGCAAGCTCCCGAGACCCCTATCGCCCTCACTACTCGCCTGCTTCAAATACTGTTGTGAAGTCCTCGATACAATAGGTAGGAGCGCATTGCTATCCTCCTTTTCTGCCGACTGACCCCTTCTTCCTATAGGCAGCATCAGCTCCTCACCGACCGAAGGTGACCCTGACGAAAGGGAGAGTCTTCTCTCCCTGTTGTTGTTAACAGACATCTTGTGGAGCAATCAAAAGGAACGATAAAATGCCAATCTGCGATAGTGAATATTAATTTCCTCAACCCTCCAGAGTAAACTCAATTCTGCGTTGATGAGAAGATTGAATATTAAACTTAGAGGAAGCTATCTCGACTTTGTATTCCACTCGTAGTAGCTCTTGAAAGTGTCCCCCAAAAAATCAGCAAAACTCATACCATCCTTCGTCCATCTCTTCTCCAGTGGTGGCACTCTCTGAGCAATCGTATTCCTAAAAACATCAGCCCTAGTGCACCTCTCAGGCATGCTCAGCTTGAAGTCGACGGAGGTGTCCACGAAGCATGGACAGCTGATCCTCGCGATATTGGGTACGGCCGCACCCCTCACACAATGAGGAGTGGCGACTAGCAAGCCACCGGTGATGATCTGTAAGCACTCTCCACATTGAATGACCATAATATCATCAGGTATAGTAACCTTGGCAGTGCGACTGTTACGGTCAGCGACCCAGAGGCCGGCAGTAAGACGGTCGGGGTTGGGCACTTCTTCACCGGTATCATGCTTAACGTAAATATCAGGAGTAAGGCAAGTAAGGAAGCCAGAATCGTTGTGCCAGCCGATCCATGCATCCTCCGCTTGAGACTCCGTGGGGAAGTAATAGAG